TGTTACGTGAATCCTCTGTCCTTGAAATAATACACTCTCAGCTGTCAACTGTTGCTTTCAATTTATTTGAATTTCATTGATATTAATTATTTATGACTATTGACGATAAGATGAACGGAATTAAGATTTGATAAACGATTTTAACCTCAAATTATGTCAGAAAAAGATGCTGATAAACATGTAGAATGTTCAAGTTTTTCAAGGTCTGAAAGATTGTTGCAACATGATTATTGTAATTATATTAATTTAATGTGCAATCTATGTAATATAAAGCTTTCTTGCGTAAAAATTTCCGTAATCGTTGTATTGACAACTTCAAACGTGTAGAAGATTGTTTACTACACAAACTTATTTAGGTTAACTTGTAATAAATACTGTTGTACGATTAATTTTATTGCTATTTGAGATTTTAAAATCAGGTTTTATCTGACTAAAATAAAAGCTCTTAAGCTTTTATTTTTTTTTTAAGGACTGAACTAACTGCACATATGCCAGTATAATTACAAAATTGAAATTTTAATTACTCAAACGTTTTAATAATAACCTTTAATGGGTGAACAATATAAATATAGGAATATATAAAATAAAAATAATGTGCAACATCCAACAACCACCCCACACTTACACTCGACTATAATCTAATTATGGACTACATTTGAAATTTAATATAATTGATGTCTGATGATCTTATCTTAGTATATCCAATTTTAACTATAAAAATAACCTCATTCTATCTTGTAGTTCAAATTAATTTACAAATTGATAAATTGACTCAACCCAATTATAACATAAAATATTATGTTAAATATGACTAATATCTACATCATAGAATGTGAAATTGCATCAGTGTATAAAATTAATAGTGTTTGTCTTACAGATGGCTTGAAAATGGCTTACTAGCCGAAACGTAGCCGATTTAGATGTAAAAGTGGAATAAATGTGGTGAAGTAAAAACACAGCCTTATTTTATACTATTATGTCCTTAATTATGATTTAATAACTAGTGTTGCACAAAATCGGTACTTTGGTACCAAGACCAAGACCGCCTTACTGTTGCAAGACCGGCAAAAAAAAAAAAACAGTAATAGCCCAATTATGAAGTATATTTTTCTTAATGAAGTATATAATCAAGCAATAACGATTCCAAGATTTAATTTTTGATGGAAGGAAGGCTACGACCGGGGATTTGGAAATACTTCTTTCGTGAAAGTTTTGAAAGTCATTGATCAGAAATGGATTATTTTACACCATATAAAGCAGTGAGCTAATTGTACCTATTGTAATTATTCAATTATTTTATTTTATTTTTGTGGGAGGGGGAGAGGAGAGAGAGGCTTCATTCTGAAAGTTTTATCAAATCCGTTATTGTAACCAAGTATATTCAGACATCGCTTACTGAAATTTCACCATTTTATACCACTTTTCGAAATTCTTCCAAAAAATCATTTGTTGCCCACTCGACTACTTTCAGGATCTCCCTTCCTTTAAAAATCCCGTATACTTCCTTCTTATCCACATTCAAAACTCCGATCATAGAAATCTAATACCGGCAAACCATGTATTAAGTAACTCTGTTTTCTTATATTACCTACGACCATGTATATATATTTCATACTATGATAGTTTAGTCTTTTTCGTTTTGTATATCGCAAGAATTCCACGATTTTCAAGTCATTTAATTGATCTATTTTCTTATTATTTTTGTTGTTTACGATTTAATTTTTATTAAGCTTGATTATATAAATGTTTAAGCGTCTTATTTGTTTATATGCTTTTTATATAGCATTTACATGTTCAGTTTCTTTTCTCTTGACTGTGCGGTTAATAATGATAATCTTTAAATAACAGATGCAATTTGCTTTTCCTTTCTTTCTGTTTTGTCTAAGCATCGATTATTTTGTATCAATACCCATTTGTTTTGTACTATATACATTATTCGTTTGCTTAAGTTTTTTTGTTTATTTCATACTACTGATCTTCTAGCTAGAAGTATTTTTTTTTTTTATGTACGACTCAGTTATTCTTTAAGGGCTTCGTCCCAGAATGAAGTTATTTTGCTGTCTTTAAATAAAAATTAATATCTTAAATAAAGATATGTTGGATTTAGTCAGAAAATAATCAGATCATCTTTAAACGAAAAAAATATTAATTAAAAGAGGCAATAAACTACCCAACTAGGCCATGGGCAAGTACTTAAATGTTCCAAGATCGTTTTAATCGATAGTTTTACGTTTTGATGGATCGATTTTTAAATAAATTCAGAAGCCATTATATCGCCATTTGGAGAGTTGCATTCGATAGAGACCTTGCAATATACGATCCGTTTAGGCATATTTATGACAGCAACACGGAATAAAAAAGAAAAGAAAAAAAAAACTCGAAGAATTAAGAAAACTGGTTTTTATTTCAATCTGAAGAATTCTTAATTTAATATTATGGAAATTTTAGCAGTTAATATGACAGGATATAATCAAATTCTGTTTTAAATATTCATAGGTATCCCTCTCGAGTTGGATATGATTCCAAAATGTCATAAATTAGCGGCTCCTAATATTGTTATTAATAGGAAATAACATTTGTGTTGCGCGTAATAATTTACGTTAGCTCTTATCTCAATGGCGTTCCATCAGGGATTTCTAAAAGCGTTTAGACGGATAAGAGCGTTCATTAACATTATTTCACCTTGTTTATTATATATGTTTATATTCCCCAACGTCTGATAGAAGATTCGGGTCAAGAAGATAACCTTTATCGAGCCTTAGAGTAAACGAGAATACATTTATCTACATGAATATACTTGCCTTGATAGCAACAACCGAATTTAAAGGGCCCATTGCATCCGAATGTTTATATTATCAGTCGGGTATTTTATAACGCGGTGTATGTTTATATAGAATAATACTATAATAATTTAAATGGAATCTGTGGCGCCGCATCCTATTTATGGACAGGGCCTTAGGAACGGGTTGCCACTGGACTTGGTTCTGTGTTTGTCTCTCAATCTTTATTTCTATTTTTAGTTTAAATCGTATTAAAACTAATTTCTTTTCTTTCACATTTTCTATTCCTTCCAAACCAAGTTGTCAAGGACTTTAATAATGATTCCAACTGCAAACCTTCCCTAATCATCATTCTTTATTTGTAGATCGGCTTAGTGATTATTGAAATATTTAACTGTTGACAAAATAGGTGTATTTACTCGTACAAAAACAGCCATAGCGGTTCATATTATTATTTTTATGGACTGATTTAAAAATAGTAAAATAAATTAATAATAATACAATAAATAAAGCATTCAAAAAAATACATCAGTAGTGATTAATTAAAATATATTGATAGAGTAAAAAAATAAAATGAACATGGTTGTGATAGAATATAAATAAAGAGTTTTGATAAAATAATAATAGTAGTAATAGAATAAAAAAAAAATATAGTAATCTAATAAAAACAATCAAATCTGGTGCGTTGCGCGCATCATACAGCTTTCATTTACCACCCTCACGGGAAGTGTATGAAAACCACATATGTACATTTATATAATATTGTCAGAATTCGTATTATATTAACCTCATGTTATGTATGTAAAGTTCTAATCTCTCGTATTCCTTTGGTTACCCAGTTATAACTATTCTCCGTTACGATCTCTTATTTCTCCTTTAGTTAATTATCAAATTCATTCATATTTTATGTTTAACTATATTTTGTATTACAGATTAATGTGAAATGGTCAATTGTTTCAAATAAAAAAAGTTAAAGGTAGTTTAGAGGAAAATTTGAAAATTAACCATTTAAGTTCTGTTAGAGAACATCAATCAGAATAAAAAATACATTTTATTTAAAACTTCTTAATTTTATGCTGATATAAGGAATTTAATCAAAATGGTTAGAGCCGTTTTCGTGAAAATCGTAAAAAGTATTTAGTCCATGCTATAAAGTGCCACTTCCGGTTATCCGAGTTTGACGAAAAAGTTGCTATAACATCCCTAGCATATAAAACTTTGAATATGCAATTTCACTTTAGTACGACTTTTCGTTTTTCAGCTAGACTTTTAACACACACAGACCATTTTGCGAGACTTGGTTATACTATAAGACATTCATAGCATACCCATGAAATATTTTCTGATATAACATACATACATTTTTAGATTTTCTTCTTTTCGTGTTTTTCTCTTTTTTCCTTTCCTTAATTTGTTTACATCCACATTTCACTTTACCAAATAATGTGTTCCTTTACAGTTCTTTCTCTTTTTGATTACTGTATAACCTTATACACGAGCTCACATTCCAGTGAAATCGATTTAAGACTTAGAAATTAAAAATTACAATGCATAAAAGAATAATGCTAACATTTTAAAAACGCGCACATATCAACCAATATAAATTTAATAGAAAAAATATATATAAATATATTACAAAAAAAAAAAAAAACTTCAATTCCCCTATAAAATGAAAAGATCTATATTTTCTCAAGGTAAGATGAAAGTTATGTGGCGTGCACACCGCACCAGATCTTTTTATTACGATTTAACAGCGTATTCATAAACTTTAACACGAAAAAAATATAAATTTAAGATATTTTTTAATTTAAATTTACGTTTTAATAATTACAGTTTTTAAGAAATTATAATGAACCGATTTGATTTGGTTTTCTCTCTAAGATATTATTATTTGCGAAGTTCCAAAATTAATTAGCTAAACAAATAAAAAAAAAAAAAAAAAGGAAAGAAAGAACAATATTTGTCCTTTCAAAAGTATTGTGTTGCGCCCCATGGCAATATACAATAAGATCCACTCTCTGCCCATTCATCCTTCCCGATGGAAAAAAAGAAGAGAATTCAAATAAATAAAAAGGACAAACCAGTCAAAAGGTTAGATCTCCTGACCACTCGGTTTATTTTCTAATAATGTAAACCGGATAAATTATAATAAGCAAATATCCCTAAAAGGGAGGAGATATATGAATGAATAGAGTCAAATATTTGCCCTCGAGATGGTTGATGGTTGTGGAGACCTTCACCGAGGTTGGAGTAAGTAGCCCCAGGTATTTCTGCAGCACCGAGTCAATATTTACCCACCTGCGGATCCCGCATTCCGATGAGCAACCTCGTCAGCACTCCGCTCTCCGCTGTCAGCCCAACCTTCTTGTGGATCCTCTCCATGTAGTCCTTACCGTTTTACCAATATATACATTAACGTATATCAGGATATCAACTAGGGTACAAAGGAGCGGGTGACATGGCGATGCTTTGAAATTTTTGAAGAGGGCATGCTTTATTTATTCAAGGTATCTACAACTGTATCAATGTAAAAATACATCAAGTAAATGTGAGCAAATCTTTTTACGAGCAAGCAAATAAATATGACGAAATGAAAGATTTGTTGAGAAGCTACCCCTCCTTCCGTCTTATTTTCAGACGTTTCAGAGAGTTATCATGAATCGAAGAGGAAGCTAGGTTAGGAACGAGAGGGTTCAGATAGATCTGGATTAGGCCAGATCGGAAACATAAGAAACATAAAGGTCGTTATGGATATTTTATTATTGACAAAGTAAAGAAGTTTCAGGAATTTTAATTGTAAGGATTTGAATTGGAGCACCAAAGGTCAACTCCCTCAGTCTAAATAGACCTCATTATATTCATCTTTGTAATTAATTGGAAGCTTAGTGCGTTATCAATTCAGTGTTGAAGTAACAAATCCGCTAGCTAAGACTCCACCTGGACTAACGTCTAACATGGAATCCTCATACCAGACTGAAACGACAAGAAACCGTTCGACGATTCCGACTACATCAACACTTACTGGACAAACGTTCTAAACTTCCAATTAATTACAAAAGACTCATATACATGACTATAATAAGACCTATTTGGACTTACGGAGTTGAGCAATGGGGCTTCACTAAACCAAGGAATTCCTCTCGTATCCAATCCTTACAATTCAAAATCCTTCGTAAAATGCTCAATGCTCCCTACTTTGTTACAAATAAACCCATCCATAATGACCTTAATGTTTCTTATGTTTCAGATCTCGCCCAATCCACATACCTATCCTTCCATAATAAACTTCAGAATCATCCCAACCCTCTCTTTTCTAACCTTGCTACCTCTTCAATTTCCTCCGAGGCGACTGAAAAGAAGATGACCCCGTGATCTCCTAATGCAGACATATTACTAGAGTGCTACCATTGGGTAGTCATTCAACTAGTGTTTTTATGTCATTATATCCATATGTTCAAATTTACTAAATGTATTTTTTTAATAAAGTTGTGAATATCATTGAGAAATAAAAAAAAAAGTGATGAAGTAGTCGCAAACATTGAGCAGTTTCTTATCGTTTCAGTCTGGTATAACGATTTAAAGTCAGATGTTTGTCCAACAACAGCCTCAGGGGGCACATTTTGAGAGGGTTTTGAATTGTTGAGAATAGCACATTCCGACAGAGTTTAAAATTTTTGAGGAAGCCTATTGTGGGGAAAAACATGAAACAGGTAAATAGTAAATAAAATAATTTTTTTCTAATTCTATTTTCGCATAATAATTCCTTCTGCATCCAATCCTAGGATTTGAGTAAAATCCTTCGTATCAAATTAAATTATTATTAAACACCTCAATATTCCATTTTCTGCATATTTAATCCGAAATATATATGTTTTAAATATCTTCATGATGAATTAAAAATCTAAATCTTTAAATTTCTTATCGATTTAATATCAGCGTATGAATGACAAACATTAAAACATAATTCACAGAGGTCCTCACACATTAAGTGTAACATAAGTAGTCACAATAACTACTTTCGCTAGTTTTTTAATTAGGATATAAATGTTTGGATCATAAACGAAATCATTTGCATCGTTGGAATCCTCACACTGAAAGATAAGAAACCGCTTAACAATTCCAGCTACTTAATTACTTTCTAGACAAATGCTGCAAGCTCCCAATTAATTACACAAGTTTCATGAACAAGATTATAATAAGACTTATAAGTACCCAAACCCTACAACCGTTGGTAAAATCCTCAATCCTTAATTCTTCAGAAATAAAACCATCCATAATGACCCTAATGTTCCATAAGTTACCGATTAGCTCCAATCCAGATATCTAACCTTCCATAATAATCTTCAGAACCTAGCTTCTTCTTGCATGCTTGATATTCTCTTCGAGGCGCCTGAATAGAAACTGGCTTCGAGATCTCTTAATGTAGAGATGTGCTAACAATGGGTAGTTGTTTTAAAAATCTTTCCATATTATTATATTTCTTTATTCATATTTACTGGTTATATTTTTATTTTAATACATTTCTAAGAACTGTGCAAAAAAAAAAAAATATAGCTCTATATTAATGAAGATCCTATATGTAAGATACACAACACGCATTGAAAACCCAAACATAGTATTTTAAAAAGTTTTCAAAAAAAAGTTTTCAAATATTTTCAGAGGTTCATTATCAGTACTAATGTAGTACTCACATCTTATCTTAAATTATTATCATCATTATATAATTATTTTCATATAAAATAATCTGATAACAGAAATTTGAAAATCGTCCGTAGATGAAATACACGTCAAAAAGATATTGTGAAGTGACACTTACTTTTGAATAAGAGAGGATGCTTTTTTTGTAGCAGGTGGAAACATGAGGAGATTTCGAAAGAATGCTTGTTGTTCTTAGAATGATTATGTGTATTTCAATCGTTATGATATAAAAAATATAATAAAAATTATTAAATATTTGATTTCATGTGTTTTTTTTTTATAGTACTGTCATGTTTAGGGTCATGTTTTTACAAATAATGGATTCAGGCCAATTTTCTCAAAAGTAAAGTTCATTGATAATAACAAAATATGTCTCGAAAACAGGAACGGAACTAGATTATTTTTCTTAAGAGAGAGGAGAGTGATTAATTCAACGCCAATTTATGCTCCCCCTTCTCCAATAATTCTCAACTAAGTTTTATGAAAGTATTTCTTATTTTTAATATATTTGGACATAAATATATTGACTGAATTAAGGTACAGAAAATCATGAAGCAGAAACAAATATTTTTTACTTGACCTTCAGGTAAAGTTTCGCTCGAATTTTGTCGTCTTTAATATTCTACCAGCCGGAGCAGGTCTCCCCTATTGTTCCTGCTTGGAGCATTTCCGAAAAAAAAAATATTCACATCTATTCACACCAAAATATTTATACAAATTTCACAGAATTTTATAATAATTTCTACAACCTGCGCATACATGTATTTGCATGTAACTGCTTTATGTTTTTGTTTTGTTTTCATTAACATTAAAAAGTTGTTTAACCCCATACCTTTTTTTTTAAAAGCTGTTCCTGTTGTTTATTGTCTTGCATAGAACCAAGGGCGATATGCAGTTTTTTTTTTCCTAATTGTTGGTACTCCTTATACAAATTAACTCCAAAGGGATTAAATTTCAAAGAGGGTACTATTTAGATTTTCTTTATTAAATTTGTTTTTGAGGTCGCCAGGGATACGCGTATAACGCAGTGCTATGTCGAATTGATTTGAGCTCTACCCATCTTACTGGTGTCAGTATTTTCTTGCGTACTTCCCATATAAAGTTGTCGAAACTCAGAGCTTGTAATTAAATCTTCCATCCGATTTCGTCTTATCCGATCTCGATCTTCTGACTTCTACCTTCCTCCCCATCAAACTGCTGCGGTTCACAAGTCCTTCCTAACAATTCCTTCTTGAACTTCATCCCTCTCACCATCCATCAACATTCATCATGCTCAACAGTCTTCTCGTTTAAATTTCTCATTTTTAACCACCTTTTCCACTATGCTATATTTTTACTGTATTTTATTAGTATTAATGAAACGAAATCTACATTTAGTACGGCCACACTACTTTGGCACTAATGTGATGGTCTGTTAATTTTGTTCTAAAGGGATTCCGTCCCAGAACAATCAAGAAATTAGTCATTTCACTTTATACGCCAGGTATTAGCTTGTAGAATGAATAACTATCCTGCTGCCCACTAGTGCGGTATTTTCTTGAATGAGCCGTTGAGGACATTCATAAACTGATACGGCATTCTATACGCTACCCGAGACACCTTTAAAATAGCCTGCCTATTTAGCGCTATAATGGAGAAAGCAGAATTGCCCTAAGCGAGTAGGTGTCATCCTCGGTTAGTATGAATTATGGACGACTATATTTATACAGGGCTTTTAGGAGGCAGCGATCAGCTGGAGCAATTAGTTCCGCCGAAAATGAGATGATTAATCTGAGGGCCAATTAAAGGGAAATTTATATCCAGTTAATTGAAGGAAATGAACTACTATTTCATAAATTCTAAAATTGATTGGTGGGGCCCTGATGAGGCGGGGATAATTACAGGGCGAAACCTAAAACCCGAGAGCTAACATAATCCGAAATAAGACCGCCACGAGGATTCCGACAGGTGGCTATCAAGAACGCACCTAGCATTCGTTTCTAACACATTTTGATTGTGAGCACTGTTATGAACTGTAAATCTATTTTTAAAAAATGTTGTAAAAATTGTTAATAATAGAAAATAATAATAAATATATGCGTCACGTCTTCTAAGCTTGGGTGATGAGGTCTTCAAACAAGAACCACCTCCTCAGACGTGGTAATCATTAATCGATGTGAAGTATGGTATCATCATTTTTTAGATATTTATATCGCTCCTGTTAGTGCAAAAGGATGTGATTTATTAGTACAATTCCATATTTCATTTTACTCAGATATTTTTCATAGAAGCAGAATACTTACAGCAGTTTCAGACTATAAAACCTTCAGCACGAATAGAATAAAAATGTAAACTGTTTAGATGAGACTTTTTGCACTTACAGTAGCGATATGATAGAAATAGAAATAGAAAATAAACTTTATTCTGGGACGATGTCCCCTTAGAATGACAATAATGAACAGTTACAAAAGAAAAAATACACATCTGGCCAAAAACTAACTTAATAAAGATTCAAACAATACATACAACAACTTAAATAATAGTATGTAAATTACTAAAAAATAAAATAAAATCCTCTCAACTCTACTTATAATTTTACTGGAAAAAAGAAAAAAGAATTAAATGTATAGAAAGAAAAAGTAAAATCTCCATAAAAGAAAAAATATCAAGAGTACTTAAATAAAAAAAATTTACATATGTTAAAACCCAAACAGCTAAAGCATACGAAATATATACATTTATTAAAAATATATTAAAGACAGAAGATGAGCAACGGGTTCACAATATTGCATTATCTCAGCATAAGAGGTATAAAAGAAGAATAGATAGATAAATACAATTAGAAAGGGGCATTAAACTAATTTTATAAGAAAACAATTGCAACCAGAAAGAAAAAAAAACTGATTTAAAGAAAATAAATTATTTATGTATGTTAACAATGCGCAATTGTATTGTAAACTATACAAAAACACGGATATTAAGATAGGAAAAGACATATATGTATGCAAATTGAGGAATATAAAAATGAAATACGTCTAAAATATACACAATCTTGTAGATGGAAAAAAAGAAAAATGGATAAAAACAACAAACAATCTCTTACTTTTTATGCATTATCTAACAGTGCTATGCCAAAAGTGATCCTGAATCTTTTCAATTCACAAGATACGAGTTTACAATTGGGAAATTCCTACTAAAGCCTCGTATTTATTAAATTTGTGTAAAAAATAAAATAATCCGTCAACTTTCGCCTATTTAGGAACCATCAGGATAGAAAATAAAACAAACCCAAGATCACACAAATCCATGGCATCCAATCGCATACGCTATACATACTATAAAGTTATACTCTACTGAGAGTATGCAATGGAATCTCTTGGAATTGTATGATCATTGGTTTATCTTTTCAGTTCCGAATAGGCGAAACGTTGACGGATTATTTTATTCTTCATCTTCATTTTAGAGACACGAGGCTGTTTTGTTGGAATTTTCCGATTATAAACTATCATTGATTTTTTTTCTCTTGGTGGATTTTTACTCATTTACATTGATAATTCAATTATTTATCGATGATGGAAGAATGTATAATCTGTGTGCAATAATAATAATAATATGTCTGCATAAGAAAGTTCTTTAACAAAAAAACTAAGGTGTGTTCTTCAGACCACATCATAGAACTGAAAACATCAACAAAGCGAGATTAATAATATGAAAAATAATTATAAATAATAGTTCATTATAAAGAGGATAAAATGCTGAACAATTCCCTTGCTTACAGTATGCAGGTCCTTTATTTAGTTTCTGAATTATTTCAATCCATATCTTCCATAAAACTCATTATCATTTGGTTTTCGACACTATTTTTTCCTTTTCGCCTCTCTAACACGGCGTCGCGTTAAGATACAATTTTTAATAATAGCTCATTGCAAAGTGAATGAAATGATGAACATTTCTCTCGCTAACAATATGTAGATCCGATTTTTAGTTTTTCAGATATTTTAATCCATATGCAAAAATACTTCAATTGTCGAATCCAGCCGACTTTATCCGAGCGTTACACATCGGAGATCCAACGGCTTAACCAAATTCACTCTGCAAAAAAAAGTGCAAAACGGGAATTTTTCACTTCAACAAGGGTGTTCAGAGATAGGTGGCCTTTAAGTTGTCATTTTGGTACTTTTTTTTAATTTTTTTTTTCATTGTTAAATACCGTGGGTTTATTGTAAAAAGGTATTTAGTGACATTTTATAAAATTAAATCATGAATTACTTTGATGAAATTTTCCTGTTTACAAAAACTACTTAAAATTCACCTTCATTTTTTACGGTATCGTACGGAAAGTTACTACAACAAGAATAGTTTACAACATATTTTACATTTACTAATCAGCGGTAAATGACTAATCTAACGTAGACACCTTTCAGACGCTTTTTGACATAAATAGTGCGGAGCCCTTGAGAATAACGGAATATTTTTTTGTTTTCTTTACCTTAAACGAATAGAATGCGAAAAAGAGGATAATCCTATTATTTATTGCCAACTATTTGTCCTCCTTATACGCTAACAAATAAATATAAATCAAAACGTAAAAGGAAATATTAATAAAAATATATAAATTTATATTAAAAAATCTTTACATTTTTTTCTTATCGGAGAAACTTTATGTACCACGATTATCACCTGAATGAAGGAATCGATTTTTTTTTTGTTTACTGCCCCCCGATGCCTCTACAAAATCTTGTGCGCAACAAAATATGCGCATTTTACCAAAATGCTATAACTTGTTACTAAAGCCTTCTTAAAATCTTTTAGCTTTACATATACACATCTATGAAAATTAGAAAAAAATAACCTGCTGGATTGTAGTTCTATTTGCACATAATTAAAGAAGTGTAAATTGTATGGTGATTACCTTTAAAGGTAATTTACTTTTCACTTTCCCTTCCCCCTTCCAAAAAAAAAAATTATAAAAAAAAAGAATTTTCGTATAGACTAACCATCCGGAGCCAAATTAAGTTGTATGAATTAACACACCATATATTCGTTTGTTTAGTTCTGGATACTCAATAGTAATTTTATAGGTCTTCTTAACTACATAGCAGCTTTCAGAAAAATAAATTTCTAAGAAAAATTAACCCAAAGACCTACTAAATTGGAAAATGTCATAACAACTGTTTTCGTTTAAAAAGGAATAGATAATAACTACATATTATCAATCAATGTCTGAAGATTTTGTTTAGTGATTCCCTAATTCTTTACTCTAATGCTCGATAGTATGTAACCAATAAAATCCTGCATAATGACCTTAATATTCCATTTGTACTTGACCTAATCCCAGATAAATTTTCCAAATTTCACCAGAACCTCACTCATCATCCTAATCCTGTATCCCAATCTCTATCTAGCTCCAGCAATCCCTACAATCCTCGCCGGATGTTAAAACGGCAGTGCCCCGGAGACCTTTTGTAAATATGTATATATTGGAATACTGGCAATGGCCAGATTCTCCACTCAAGTCCTGAGCGTCTGTCGCTCTAGTGTCCTCCATTAGTCTTCGCTGGCTTCCAATGCCAGTGACGCATTCTGAGAGAAGCACTGGGATCTCCTAGATTCCTGCTTTGGCTTCCACATTTGGGGGACGAAGCTTGATTCAGAGTCCCCTGGGCCAACGTAAATATTGTACATAGGTGTGAATGTGTTTTATTTATTTTATTATCATTTAGCTTCAATGTATTATTTTATCTCGTATACATGTGAATATATTTTTATTTTAGTTATTTATATGTATTTGCCTTTCTTATGAACATATTGTGTGAATGAATAATGCAGCCCTAGAACCAATGCCCTTCCGTGTGACAGACTATATTAATATTCAATAAAATCATTTTAAAAAAATGCTGGATAGGATTGCGTTTTGACTGCCCAATGTTTCAAATGCCAAGGCACAAGGTTAGTAACATGGAAGAAGACATTGAGGGACTGGAGGAATCTTAACTCTGGAACATAAAACATTTATCCAATACGGTGCCGATGACGCTTCAAACCTGAGTGATTTAAACAGATGACTATCCATAAAGTCTGTTTACACTTTACGTTTTGGCAATTCAGACTGTCACCTTAAAGTCACAAGTACACTCAACCGATATTAAAATGACATTTTAAAACATTGAATATTTTACTGTAAGTAGTGTAATAAATTAATATTATTTTATTTCTATTACATATATTCTATTCTATTACAATATCGAAGTATTGGAAATCGGATACTAATAGATAAAACAAATATTCTAAAATATGTAATATTAAATATATATATACATATAATAAAAAGTAAAATGGATTTTAGAAAATTTATAAATTAATTCATTCAAGTACTCTTATGTATTTATCCTAACGAGTTGGAGTACTGAATTCCTTGACATATTCCAACTGTTACAATAAAAATAAATAATAAAATAAAATTCTTCCACGGTTTATATAAGGTTTAAATGCCACTTCCTTCCGTGATAAGAAGAAAAGTGCGAGGCCATTATATTCAAGGTTTTAATTTTTATTTATGTTTATCGTTTTGAAATGATTAATGAGCTAAATAGTAACTGTACATAGAGTGTGAATGTGATCTGTGAACACTATTATAAATGTCCTTGAGACGGATTGTAATATTTTTCAATAAATAAGCTTAAAAAAAATAGTAACTTAATTAATAACGAGCTATATATTTTTATGAGGTAATTTATTGTTTGGAAAAAAAAAATTGTTAAGTCTTCTTTTGGTTTTAAACACCATTTCAAAGATTTTTTTCCGAT